GGGGGGGCGTTTAATATTAGGGGAAAGGGGCTATGAGCAATCATAACCATAAGAGGCCTAAGCGAAAAAATAGTAGATAAAAAGCATCGCTAACAAAGCCGCTTGATAATGCGAGTGCTGTAGTGACAGTCGTATACTACACCATCAACATCATCTTCATCATCACAAACATCATCATTCCTAAATCCTAAACCCGAAACCCTACATCACAAGCCCTAATCCTCACAAGCTGCTTCGGGCCTTAATGAGTAGACTAGGGCTTTGCGGCCCACTATATCTAATTATAATAAGGAGCCCCAAAAAAATAGCATAGATAATCATCTAGGCCCTAAACCCTAAACCCTAAACCCTAAACCCCTATATTACGGCCTTAGAAAAGCCCTCCACGGATCTCTTCGAGGCCCTCGAAAGGATCCTCAGTGGAACTCAAAGGAGCCAAAAGGCTCCAAATGGCCAGAGTAGGTATCATTTGTAGGTTTTGGGGGTTCAGGGTTTAGGGGGTATCATTTATAGGTTTTAGGGGTTTGGGGCTTAGGGTTTAGGATTTAGGGGTTGCATATTAGACTTTAGACCCCAAAGTACGTACTTATTTGTATACTTGGAGTCTTACGGTAGAGGGAACCCGGAACTCCTCAAAAGATCCTTTCAAGGAACCCAGGAGTCTCCTGAAGGAATCCTTCAGGAAACCCCTATACAGTATTCCTGCAACGCCTCTCCGAAACGGATCTTTCTGAACGCCCTAGACCCTATAAACCCTAAACCCTGTGAACCCTATAACCTACATAAACCCTCTAAACCCTATAAACCCTATACCCTATAAACCATAAACCCTATAAACCCTCTAAACCCTCTAAACCCTATTAACCCTATAAACCCAAAAATCCAAACCTCATGAACCCTATAACCCCGATAAGCCCTAGAAGCCCTGTAAGCCCTTTTAAAGGAGCCTCCTTACAACCCTAAACCCTAAACCCTAAACCCTAAACCCTAAGCCCTAAGCCCTTTTAAAGGAGCCTTATGGCCCCCCCTGCCTCGCTGTCCAGGAAGGGCCTGGGAGAGCCCTGGAAGTGGAAGGAGGAGTTCAAGACCTGAGCTGCTGAGTTTAGGGTTTAGGGTTTAGGGTTTAGGGTTTAGGGTTTAGGGTTTAGGGTTCACAAATTTAAAGAGTTTGGGGTTCAGGGTTTTAGGGCTTTAGAAAAGGGTGTTAGGGTATATTATACTATAATCATACTGGACAGATTTAAAGTGCCTTAAGGGGTTTAGGGGGTTTAGGGTTTAGGGGCTTTAATAATTAGAGTAGGGTTATGGGGTATATTAATCAAAATTTATACCTTGACAAAAGTTCCGTAAAGGGTTTAGTGGCTTAGGGTTCAAGGCTCCAGGGTTTAGGGTTGTAAGGTTTAGGGCTTAAGGGTTTATAGGGTTTAGGGTTTAGGGCTTAGGGGTTTAGGGCTTAAGGGTTTAGGGTTTTGAGTTGCTACTTAGCAGGACTCCTCTACCCTAAAATAGGGGGTATATGGTCCCAAATATTGGGTACTGAGGGTCTAATAGGGGGTAGATGAAAGGTCTACTTATCAAAATGAAAGTTCCGTAAGGAGTTTAGGGGTTTACATACAGTTAGGGTTTGAAGTTTAGGGCTTCAGGGTTTAGGATTGAGGGTTTTATGAACAGTTCCCTAAGGGGTATAGGCCCAGGCCTTTCTTTGGCTTTAGGGTTTTTTGGGTGTAAGGGGCGGGGGGCTTCAGGGCTCTACCACGATACGTCCAAGGTTCGAGACCTGAGCAGGGTAAGTAGGGTTTAGGGTTTGGGGATTAGGGGCTTAGGGGTTTAGGGGTTTAGGGGGTTAGGGTTTAGGGGGTTACAAGTAAAGTACGAGGAGTCGAGGAGATACATCTGACTTAAATATTAGTGATGTCAACTGTCAACGCTAATGTTTAGCCCCCCAGGAATGAGCCTAGAACCTGACTGGCGAAGTCCCCTGGTTCTTGGACTGGAAGTGAAGAGGAATTTGGGGTATTCCGTTGCAGTCCCCATGTAATTACAACATATTGTACCCCAACTTGTTCTAACTACAGCTAGTGTCTTGTCTGACCCTCTGTGGCAGGGCTCATGTAAAAAGTCCCGGTCCCGACCTTTGAAGCCAAAGCTCTGACGGTGTGTAGGGCTTAGGGTCTAGGTTTTTGTTGTTTGAAGCCTCTTTTCCCTCAGCTATCCGCGTCAGGAATTGATGGTAGGAGAAAGAACCGTGCGAAGAACCAGGCACCGAGGATCCACAGACTAGGGGGTTTAGGGTTTAGGGTAGGGCGTTTTCAGGTTCTTCCTTTGGGCTTAGGGTTTAGGGTTTAGGGCTTTCTGTTGGGCCCGGAAACCTCCAGCCCGACCCTTTCGGTGTGCGCTGGGCCTGAAACCCATCTTGAAACCCCGATGCTGTCACAGTCTGACTAATTTAGGCGCCTTAATAATTATCATAGGGTGTGGGGCTCCTTTATAGTATATTTATAATANNNAAAATAGTATTGGTAACTATTAAGGCTCCTGTGTTACATGCCTGCAATTTTTTGAGTCTTGGGCTCAGGACATAGTTCTGCTCAGGTTGTTATCAGTAATTAGTAGGGACCGTCGATTTCAACTCGGGCAACGGTGGCACAATCGGATACAGTGCATTAAACAGTATATAGTTTATGGAATATGTACATACACATATACATGCATCATTACCGCAACATGTAAAGAATAAAGCCTAGAATTTAGTAATAAACCCTAAACCCTAAAC